CAGGAAGGACTCTGATGTGAGTGGCCAGGGCACAGGGAGGTTATGGCCATAGAGGGGACCACGGGGACCTGAGACCGACAGTGTGGGCAGGAGGGGACAGCCAGGCTGGGTTGCAAAGGGTGAAGAGAGTGGACCAAGTCCCAAGCCAGCAATCTCTCCTGGTGCTCCAGACCCATGTCTCTACCTGTCCCACCTGGCTCTCTCCCCCCAGGTCCCTCAGTTGTCCTGCCACTGTCACTCGGCACCCTCCATCCCATAGCCCCCCACCTGGGAGTTTTTGTCTCCCCTCCCCCCGGCCCCTCTCCCAACACAGACCCTTCCACCAGCCTCCTGGCCCCTACCCAATTCATGACCCCCCGGTGCCCACAACCGCCTTGTCACAGCCCATTGTGTGCCCATCAGGGGGTTTGGTCCAGTCCCATCTATCCAATAACCAAAGTCCCTCCATTGGGCCACCAGACCTTCCACCGCCCTTCTAGCCTCACATCATTTATTCTTGGGGAGCATGGTGACTGCTGTCAGCTAAGGCTCTGGGGAAATCAACTGATGCTGAGAAACCTCCCTTAGGCACCCCACAGTACCAAGTGCACCGTCACGCCCCCTCATTGCAGTCCACTAGTGCTGCAAAGCCAGCCTGGACAGGCCCTCATCCATGAGCATTCCCCCTGGGGGCTGTTTCCTCTGCCTCTCCCCAAGGGGTCCAGGACTCCCCAGGAGCCCTTCCCTGCTCGGCAGTGTTGGCCTGGCTCCTTCATTGGGGCCAAAGCCTGTTTCCAGCATCATACAGTGGCGGGGGGGGGGGGGGGGGGGTGAGGGAGTGAGGACAATGCCTGCGTCCCACCAACCTGACATTTCCAAACAGGCTGGATGCACTTCCTCAGTCGGCAGAGCAAGAGCTGTCAGAGGCTCCCCAGGCTTCTAATGCCAGTGTGGCTGCCCAAGCGCGGCAGGGAGAGGCCAAGCAGTCCCACCGGGCATGGGCGTCAGGCAGCCTAAGACAGGCATGGCAGCAGGGGGGATTGCGGGGGTCTCCCCAGCACCACCCACCTTGGGGAGGGGAAGCTCCCATCCATGTGATGGGGCCAGCTGGCCTGGCTGAGAGCTGGAGGGCGCAACCCACAGTCACCCTCCCCCTTCCCCATGGCAAGCATCTGGCTACACAGCTGGGGGCAGGGGTGGGGGCCATAAACCTGCCTGGCCCTGGCCCTCCCCGCCCCTCCCATACATGAAGCCCAGAGCAGCCCCTCCGGAGACCCATATGGCCCGAGAATCAAAGCCATAACCACCAAAGGCAGCCAGTTTAGGAGACATTTTCCAAACGCCAATGCCAAGCCCCAGCCTACAAAGTTAGCCAGCGGGTCACACAGCTGGCGCCTCACCCTCAGTGCGGAAGGAGCCATGAGGGAGGGCCTGCACCTCTTACCCCCGAGGTTAACACACCCGGAGTGTCTGGGCCGCCAGCACAGACATCCAGCATGGCTGCAGGCTGCCGTGACTGCTGAGGGTGAGCCCAGGGCACTGCCAAGGAGACTGGGCCAGATAGGCAGGCCAAGGGTCTCTCCAGGGTGGAGTCTCAAAGCCCTGACAAAACTAAGACACTCAGGATGGCACTTGGTCCATGAGGGAGGCACAGGTCCTGGTGGGCCCCAGCGTAAGGCCAGGGAAAGGGGGTTAGGGGGCCAGCCACCTGTGGATACCTCTTGACCAGGTGGCAAATGGCCCAGGATGAACACTGGGAGGGGCACGGATGGCTCCACAAGGAAGCTGAGAGGAAAACTGCTGTGGCAAGGGGCCAGCCCATCATAGGATGAGAAGGTGGTGCCTGGCCTAGAGGGCTCAGGACCAAGAGGAGCCGCCTTCCTTCCGGTCAGCTGATCCATCCTCCCTGCACCCCACCCACTTCCGTCACGTGACCCCTGAGGAAAGGGAGCGGAGGGGGGGGGCTCTCCTGGGGGTAGGGATAAGGGGCCTCTTATATTAGACTCCAAACCACAACAGCATCAAACTGGAACAGGGTTTGTTCTGCAAGCCAAGATTCCCCCAGAACTTGAGGCCCTCCCAAGCTATCCCACCATCCTGCCCACTCCACCTCACCCCCACCTCACCTTACCTTCCCCTTACCCCCACCCTCTCACCCTACACCTCACCTACCCACTTTGCCTGCACCTCACATGCCCCCCAACACTTCCAAACTCCTAGGACAATGCCTACCTTACCTCCCCAAGAAGAGCCCTTCAAGGTTTGGCCAGGGACATCTGTGTAGCCTTCCCTTCAGAGGGGCACCTCATTCTTCTTTCTCTACACTCCAGAGCCAGTGCTCAGAGGTCACAGAAGGGAAACTGAGGCACAAGCTATCTGCCCAAAGCCATTGCTGACCGATAGAGGAGCTCATGACTCACCAGCCCCGCTTAGGGATGCCCCCGTTTCCCTGCATTTGCAGGTCTGCGCTGACTGTCCCCTCAGGCTGGAGTCCCAGACAAAGTGAGGGTGCCTGGCCAGGCCCTGCACAGGATATGAGGCCTGCACTCTCGCTGAGTCTGCAGCACCCTCACAGAACAGCACCTAGCCTACCCAGGGTCACACCCTCCCAGGGTCACAGCATACATGTGAGAGGCCGAGACCCCACACCCGTGCAATCCAAGTGCAGAACTGGGGCTCCTCCCCTGTGGAGGCCACCCCCCCCAAGAAGCTGGGCCATGACACAGGGACGGGGCTGACTGAAGTGGGACTGCCGTTCTGCCTGCCCTTGCCCTGGAGGGCAACCCTGCCCCACGAGGGGTCCTCCTGAGACCATGGCCACTCATACCCGCTAATGGGTCTGCCAGCCTGGAGCGTGAGCCGGTTGGTGGCTGATTGATAGGTAATTGTTTTACCTCTGAACAGCCTGAGCCCCATAATTTGGAGACATAAATCCCAGCCTGTCGGGCTTGGCTGACATGGAATGACACCCAGAATTAAATGAAAGCATAACAATTAACAGCCCATAAAAAATGTTCTGAGCAGGGCCCCTCCAACAGGAGAAGCATGTCTCCATCTCCTCCAGGTCAGGTCCCGCGGGCTAGCTGGGCCTCCCGGGGAGGCAGCCTGATCCTAGTTCCTTGAGCCCCATGAGGTAGGGTAGGCTCCCCTCCTGAAAGGCCCAAAGCTCCTTTCTGCTCATAGCTGGGCACACCCAAGCAGGTCCGAGAATTTGCCTGCTCCCACTCCATTAATGAGTACGGCAGGCACTATCGGAGCTCCCCTAACCCCACATCTCCCCAGAAGGTGTGTGCTCCACTGGGTCCCATCAGATTGAGCTTCAGCAGCCCACAGCACTCCACTCCCTGGCATACCCAGGTCACATCCTGCAGCCCCTGCCCCTGCTCATGGCTTCCCAAACAAGCTCCTAGCCCCAGCCGCAGGTCAGGGTTCATTTTGGAGGACCCACATTAAGATGGCAGCACACTCTCCACGTGTCCAAGGGCTCACTTTTCCCCACGTAGCCCCTGTACTCACATTTCCCCAAGTCTCCCTGGCTCTTCCCTCAGCCTGAAGGACCTGAGGCTCACCAGGAGGAGGCCTGGCCTCGCCTGTCTTTTGCTTCCTCCGTTGGGGCTAAAGAGCACCATCTTGGTCAGGCCGCCCTCAGCCATGGACAGATGAGGATGGAGGAGCAAAGCCCTCCCCATGGCTCTCCATGGCATGTCCAGTGTCAGAGCAGTTGGAGGACGAGTCCTTGAGGTTAGAGAGGGTGTCTCCAACAACCCCTGGCCCCAGAGGCTCAACAGCCACATCCATTTTTGAGCTCAGCATTCCCCACACCCTTGTGCATGAGGATGGGGCTGTGGTCTTGATGACGGAGGACCTTCTCCCAGCATGCCATGGGAGAGAGATGGTGCCCATGTGCCAGCCAGAGCTGGAGACTCTGTCAGGAGAGAAGCTGAAACCCTGCCCCTCAACACACACACACACCCAACCCCCACCCGCAGTGTCTGCAGATGAATCTGGGAGGAATCAGACAAGACCAGCTCAGCCAGTTCCAATGTGCAGCTCCCAGGAGCTGTGCTGACCTTGGAGACAGAGGAACCCAGGCCCCACCAGGCCCATGTGACAGATGCCTCCCAGGTCCCATCTGCAATCAAGCGGGGTCCTACCTGCCACAGGGGCTGCATGGGAACCCCAACGCCTAACCATAGGTTTAACACAAAAAAACAGTTTACTGACTTGATGTAGAGCCCACTTGAAGAATGAACTTCATAAAAAACTACTTGCTTGGCATTGGGAACAGTCAAGTGGCTGCTGTAACTTAATTGTCTCTGAGCTCTGTTTTGTAACTTGATAATTGTGATTGTGTTTTCTTATTAATCTCATTGTTTTAAACCTCCTCACCATGTTCTCTGCTGGGCCTCAGGGTGCAGCAGAGGTGGAGCTCCCAAAGGCTTCTTCCAAAGAGTCTGGTGGGTAGTTCTGCAGAAACGGGCTTTCCTCGAAGTGCCACCCCAGTGGAGCGCTCACTGAGGGGCACATGGGAGCAGGCTCTCAGGGACAAAGAAGCTCACCGGATGCCCGAAGGCCAAAGGTGCTTCAGGCAAGGGGGAGAGCCTGGGCAAAGTCAAGGAGGTATGAAGGTGGGTGCTGAGGGAGGTTTGCTGAAGGCTGGATGTTGGGGAGGGGTGGGAGCCACAGGGTTAGTGCTGCCAACTGGCAAGGGCAGTGTGAGCTTGACCTTGAATGTGTTACAGTTCAGTTGGTGGGACGAGGGCATCCAGTGGACCTGATGGGCCACAACAGCCAGAGGGTGCCGAGAGAAATCTTGGAGCTAGCCAAACACACCTAGCCTGCCAGCACCGGCATCGGGGAAGCCATGCACAGTTCTGGGCTCTAGGTCCTGCAGACACCCCAGCCCTTTCCACAGGCAACTGGGCAGGGGCAAAACCGCATCGGGAATTCAGGGCAGGTCTGGCCTGCATGCTGTATCAGAGAAATGCAACACAATTAATTAGTCCCTAAAAAAAGCGTTTGAAGTGTTTATTGCAGGACGGAGCTCCTGGTTTTATAAGCAGATGGGGAAATAAAGTGGTGGGGATGACAAGCCGGGAACAGCTGCACAGGGACCCGGAACCTAATTCATAATTCAGCAGACTAATCAGAGAACATCTTCTGCAGGCACCGTAATGAAAGGACGTGAGGCTGCAACTGATGAGCCTGCTCCCCGCTGCGCTCGGCTCCCCTGCGCAGCCAAACCCTGGGCAGCCCCTGCCCTCAGCCCTGGGTAACGCAGCCCAAGTACCAATCCCTTGCTAGGCATTTTCTCAGCTGTAATGGTAGTCACAAGTCCATTTTTCAGGAGAGGAAACAGAGGCTCAGGACAACAGGCTCTGTCAGGGGCACGGTCCCCCAGGAGCCCGGGGAGCCCTGGTCCTCCAGCCCTGGTGGCACAGGTTTCTCTGGCTTTGGTGGGGTGCCTCACACAACGAAGTGTCATCCACGTGGGAGCCTCTGGCAAGGGCTCAGGTGGACTAAGGAGACCTTACCTGCCTCACAGGTGGGAAGGGAAGTAGGGGAGGAGGAGACAGGGTAGAGCAGTTAGAGCCTGGCCAGAGCCAGCTGTTCCCCAGGGTAAAGCAAGTAAGTGCGTGGAGTGACGCCCGGGAAGACAGGAGGGGCCAGGCTTCTCATCTGAGCGTGAGCAGGAGTGGGGCTGACACAGGCTGGGGTCCTAGAGGGTAGCTACCTGGGATAATGGAACATAAAAATTCACATGCATTTTATGAGTCTTCCAGTTCCAAGAGGAGTCCGGTGTTCACAGCAGTCATGGACTGTAAAATGCACCAGCCATAAAGTCCTTGTTTTCTCCTTGGCTGCTGTTGAAACCATAGGAGGCAGAGGGTAGGGACCAGGCCTCTTTCGTCCCCACTGGCCCCTGCTTCTCCTGGTGGGTTTGGCGCACCTCTGACCCTCCACTGGGACCTTCCCCCAAAGGCTCTGCATTCTTGTCTGTGTGCCGTGTATGCCTGGCTAGATATGGGACCCAGAGAAGAATCCAGCTTACTCTGCTCTGAGTAGCTCATGGCCTCCCCAGGCAGACGGATGGGGTCAACTAGACCTTGCACGGCCTTTTTCTTAAGCACACAAAACCACAAACAGCATCAAACTGGTTGGTGCTATGAAAGAGGAAGGCACGGGTATCATGGTATCCCAATGGGGGAATACCTGGGGCTTTGTGGAGCTAGATTGCGAGGCATAGGTGGGGGTTCGCCAGTGTAATTCTCAGTCAATGTCCTCGATGCCACTGGGGCTGAAATGAATGGAGATTCGGGTTAGAAAAACACCCCTGAGTCAGACCCTGACCCTCAACCCCATCGGATACCCCCAGGCCAGCCAGGCTGGGGTCCTTTTCAGGGACCCAGGTCCCTGGGCACAAGCTTCCAACCCTTGGATCAGAGTCACCTCTGAACAGGATGCAAGAGGGGAGCAGAGGAATGGGGAAACTAGTGCTGGTTTCCTACCTGCTGTAGGTAACAAACTGGCCCAGTGGCTCTTGTGTGCTCAGCCAGTGGGTCTGGAATTGGGCAGGGCTGGGCGGATGAGGTTCTATTCCATGTGGTGTCCACAGGGGTCCCTCCGTGGCACTCAGTGCGTGCCTGGTTCTGGTGAGCTGGCTGGCAGGGGGCTCAGCAAGAGGCCCCTCTCCAAGGAAGTCAGACTCCGTATGTGGCAGCTCAGGGTCAAGAGCAGGAGGTGGAAAGGCTCGGAAGGCCTGGACTCAGCACAGCACCATGTCCACCTAACATTAATGGTCAAAGGTGTCCCAGACCTGCCTGGGTCCAGGGAGGGAAAAAGACCAGTGTCATAGAGGGTCAAGGACTGTGTGGCCACCTTCAGGGGCCTTGTAAGCCCCTGCAGGCAGGGCTCAGTACAGTGTGCTAGGGACAGCAAAGGCTCATCCGGACCCACCCCAGAACCCACAGGTGCCAACATGCCCCTTAGAAAATAGGACCAACTGAAGCACCCCAAAGCTCCAGGCAGAGCCCCTCATGGGCCTCTTTTCCAGAAAAAAGAATAGGAAGTGACCCCACGATTGTAGCTAGGCTCTCCTTTCTGAATAGTGATGGGATAAATCCCCCCAGGGTCCCCTCCCTTCCTGAGTGGATAAGGGGTGCAGTAAACCCTGTACCAACCATGCTCAGGAGGTGAAGCCGAAAGGGGGTCCTTGCCCAGGCAGGGTCTCAGTGCTCAAATGGGACTCAGGCTCTGCAGGCGGGGGTGACTGCCTTCGGTGCCCCCTGGATGCCTTGCCCCCAGTTACCTCCCCCGACCTATTTGCCCTTAGCTGATTGCCCAGGACAACGCAGGGCCCAGCCCTTGTGTAGCCAACATATTGCTCATCTTACCTGTGGGCAAGATCCCTCCTTGTACCCTGTCCACTGACTCAGAGATGGAGACCCACCTGCCCAAGGTCCCCCAGCTTATAAATGGCAGAGCAAGCTCATAAACCCTGGTGTCCTTGGCTCCAGGGTCATGTTTTGGTCACAGGCTGGTCCCACCACTCCCCTAGCCAGGCCCTCAGAGTGTCTACATCTGCTGTTGGCACTTGCCACCTCCCACTCTTCCCACGCCTCTGGTCTGGGTCTCCCTCCCTCAGGGAAGGGGGCTGCTCCCCCTGACCTTGGGCCCAGGGTGGAGCCCTCTACACATAGCTCTCAAAGCCCAGGAGATTGGCCAAAGGGCTACTATGATAGGGCCACCGTGTAAGGACCTGATTTGTGCGAGTCCAGTGCCCCACTGTGAGTGGCCACCTTATGACCGTGCCATCCAATGCTCTGGGCTGGCTGCAGTGTCCTCACTTCCAGAGTAGACAGAGCCACTCGCGGGGCTATGCTCAGTGTGTGCACACTTCTCGCCGTGCCTGTCCTGTCCTGTGGGACCCCTGTTACAGAGGCAATCTCACTAAACAAACGTGCCCTGGATTTGCTCTGTGCAAACAGCAACCGCCACACCACAAACGAGGAGCTCAGAGAAAAACCGAATGTACAGTGGGGTGCAAGGGGCCATGTCCTTCTGGGAAGGAACATGGGGGGTGGTCCTTGGTTCCTCAAAAATGCCAAGTCATGGGGCATCCCTGGGTGGAAGCATGAGATGCACTGCCATCTCCTAACACATACACTTACCCAGCCCCTCAGGGGCACTGAGCTGGATACTGGGGGACAGTAGGGGGCAAGATGGATGCAGCCCCAACCTCAAGTTGGCTCCAGACAGCATACAAGCTGCGGAAGGAGTGCCAGGCACAGCACCACTACCAACCAGAGACCTGCCCTGGTCCCCACACCTGAGCCCACCCCACAACTGGCACAACCAGCTCCCCCCTGAGCCCCAACCTTGGGCTAGGGCCACTCCCGCCTCAGGGGGCCCTCATGTGGGAGCCTAACACAGAGAGAAATCAGCACCCACATGGTGACTTCCACAGGCCTCCCCAGGGTGGCCTTCCTTCCGGTCCACTCCACCCACTCCAATTACTCCAGGAATGGAATCCAAACTCAAGGGGGACAGGCCAACCAGGCATGACCCCTTTGGCCACTGGCAGCCCTCCCCAGAGGCTCCCCTGCACAGTGGGGACATCAGGGTCAGAGCCAACCTTGTCCAGCCACCCCCAATCCTGTGCCCTGGGGCTTCTCCTGGAACTACCAGGCCTGAAGAATAAGAGACTCCTCGCTACTGGCCTCAGTGCCCACTGCTTGCTCAAGGGACCCCTGCCCCTGCCTCACCACAGGCCTCAGAGAGCACCATCCAGCCCCTGGCAGAGCCCAAGGCAGGACCACAGGAAGATAACACAGGGAAAGGGACACTCATTTCTGGGGTGCAGGGGTCCTCCTTTTCCTTTCTCTAATTTTTCTGCATATTGCAATTTTTCTTACACTCACCTGAATTTCTCATATAATAGGAAGCAGGGAGCATCAGCAGGAAAAAAGCAGGTTCCCCTCCAGGGTGCAGGGGAGCTGGAGGCCCCGGGCTCAGAGGAGGGTCAAGCTCCCTCTGGGCTGGGCCCCCAAGTGCGTGGCCCGGTGAAGGACCCCCACCCCACGCAGGCGGGGGGCACAGGCTGGGTGCCTTCCCTGTGTGTGGCCAGCTTTCCCCAGGGCTGTACCAGCCTCATTTTACTGCCACTACGGCCATTATATTAACTTGTATCTAATGGGACACTCAGCTATTGGACATGGAACAATTTCAGCTTAATTATTCATCAGGAAGCTGGCCATTAATTAAAGTAACAAAAGACTCAGCACAAGGCAGGCCTTTGCTGGGAAGGTTCGGTTGAGGCGCACAGGGATGGCCAAGAGTATGACAATTAGGGGCAGGCCTGTTAGCCTGAGTGTCCTCAGGTCCTGTCACCACCCACCCCCCAGACCCACGCACTAAAGGCCACCTGGGGTTTTGCTCCCTGACCTCCTGGCCATGCATGGCCCAGCGCGGGGCCTCTCTGGGCTTCATGGGTTGACTCCCCAGGGAGAGGGGGCAGGGGACACACTGGAATTCAGGTGGAGCCCCCACCAATGCTCGTCAGGCCCCAGCAGCTCTGGAGACCTATCACAGCCCATGCCTGACTCTGGCCAAAGCCCCATTACTCCAGCATGTGGCCCTACCCTGGAGAAGTCTGACCCCTACTACAGGCGCAGAGCTCCCACACCCCTTCCTCCCACCCCTGGACAGACACAAGAGCTCGGGCCCAGGAGGCAGCTGGGGACAGTAGTCAAGGGCAGAGAACACAGAAAACAGAACCCAGACCCTGCAGCCAGCATGTGTGACTTACAACGATCTTTCTCCGTTTTCCCTCCCCCTGAGCCTCCCTCATCTGCCTCTCTCCTCTCATCCCCGTGGGGAGCCCATTGCCTTTCCATAGCCATGACAGAGAATCACACAAGCGTTTAGTTTGCTGCGTTTATGGGAGGTGTTTTATTCTACCTTAAGGGTAGGAGATTTGCGGGTTTTATATTTGTTTCTCTAAGGAAAAACAGAAAACTAGATTAGGTGACTTAGAACATGGCACTAGTTACTCCTCGGCTACCTTAACCATCTCTCAAGGTTTCCCTCCGCCCTTGGTCCCTCACAGGTGTGGCTGCCCCTCGGCCCCAGGGCAGGCTCAAGACTCAAAAGCCAGACCAGGACCCAAGGTTATCTGGTCTAAGCCACTTCTTCCAGCCCACACACAGTGTCACCTTCTTCCTCCCGGATGTTCTACCTCTGTTAATGTGCCCTGCTTTCCATCCTTGCTCCCTTGCAAAGGCTGAACCAGAGGTCTGAACCAAAGAGCACAGAGGTCCAGGTGTCTGATGCTGCGCACCAAACACCTGCTGCCCAACAAGCCCCTGGGCTGAGTCCAGGCCTTGAAACACCACATGAGAGGGGTTTATGGAAAGGCCATGAGGCCCTTCCTTCCTGCACTCTATCACCCAGGGGCTGATTGGACAAGAGCCAAGGACCCCAATGAGACTCAGCCGAGGGTGCCCACTACAACAACCAGAGGACCCCAGCCACACAATGATATCAGGCCATCTCCATGGCATCTGCTTAGGCCACCTGAGATACACACTGTTTGGAAATCCTTGAGCCTCCCAACGGCCTTCGTTTCTGTGAGCTCCTGAGGCTCAGCCAGAAGGTAACAATTCAGGGATGCCCGGCGGAGAGTGGCAGAGCTGTCCTTCCCAGAAGGGTCTGGAAGTGGGTTCTGCACGTGGGCTGCTCTGTGCAGAGACAAATGCACAACATCCTAATATTGACGTTTCCCATAATGATGATCATATTTTCTTCATTGGTTGAGACCTGAATCAATGGCATTTGAGTAATTGGAGATTGATTTTAATTAAGTCTAAGAAGCTTTGTGACCGTGCCTGACGGAGGACTCCTCTTTGCCGACTGCAGAGGGGATGGTGAGAATTGGACCCTTGTCTACCTGACCTGGAGGCGGAGGGGGTCATGTGCTTGGCCGCCCCTGTGAGCCTCCCACAGCCGCCCCCCAGCGTTGACTGTGTTCTCTGCTCCCACCGGGTCTGACTCTCAGCCCATGAGGCAGGGTTGGCTGGGATGCGGGCTGGACGTAGTCCGGAGGGAAGGATCCTGCAGAAAGAGCCAGGCAGGTGGGGACAGTACCCATTTCTTCATCTGGATCTTGGGCGGTGATAGGTTCCTCCCCTCTCTGACCCCAGTTTCCTCATCTGTAAAATGGTGCAATAATACCCCCCAGTGGCCCAGGTCTCACCCCATAGGAAGTGTTGCCCCATTATTTCTCCTCTGTCACCTCGTGGGATTGCCTCAAATATGCTATCCAAGCCTCCTTCCACCCAAACCTTGTTCTCTAACATTTCTACCATCCCCAGGCCTCTGCCACTAGAGCTTGGGCCACCCTAGCACTGCCCTGACCGTGCCCACTAACCACAGGACTCACCCAGCTGTCTTCTGGGCCAGGCCACCACCCCTGCCCACTCCCCGGCGCTTCTCATAACAATGCTAGAAGCTGGGGATCCTGCACATGGCTCCCCACCCAGCCTTCCAGAGCCCCCTCACATCTTAGGACCCCAGGCCTTACCAGCTGCCCCAGCTGCCTCCCGCTACCCAGCAAGCAGCCTACTGACAGGTTTAACGCCACAAAAGAGAGAAGATCATTAACAGGAATATATTATTAATGAAGAGGCCTAATTAGGCAGACCAATAAATTACCTGATCTCACCCTGAATCTCCGAGGACTAATGGGGTTACAGTCCAGCTCTCAGAAGGGTCTGCTAGGCTACAGGTGAGTGAGACCCTGGATGCCGAGGGCCTCAGTGGTGTCCAGGTCCTGGGCAGAGGCTCAAGGATGATCATTGCCATGGCCCAAGGTCCCCTGTTCCACCCCAGCTGAGCTTGAGTGCCCCCAGAGAGCCCACATGCCCCAGCTTCTGAGGGCAGTCATAGACAGGACCCTCCCTGGCCTCTGACCCCGCCTCAGAAGAGTAGAGTCGGCATCTATTGGACAGGCACTGACCACAGCAAGCGTGTTTGCATAAGGACGGCTCATGGCCTTGGCCTTCTTCCCTTGGGGGCCTGACCTGTCTCCCACCCTCTTCCCCTTCCAGGAAGAGAGAGGCAGTCCCTGGGACGAGGCCAACTTGGCACACAGTGCCTCCCAGCTTCTCTGCTCTGACCCTGGGCCCCACGGTGGGACTTGGCATCCTCACAACGAGATGAAAGCAGTGGCCAGGGAACCCATGCAGCTCTCCCACCTTTAGGGGCCACGTGGAGGCTACCCTCAGAAATGGCCTGGGCCCCAAGGACCCCTGATAATAGGAACCTCAGCACCCAGTGAGAGTGTCCAAACCCACTTTACAGATGAGGAAACTGAGGCCTGGGTCATGGGCAGCCCCAATTACAGAGCAGAGACTGGAACCTGTCCTCTCCTGGCTGCCCGAGAAGCCCGTTTCTGTAACCCTCTGGTTCCAGTGGTTGGAGTGCATCCTGGAAGCACTCCCCACCACCAAGATCACCAGTCCTTCCCAGGCCAATGCAAAGAGGAAGTTGGGGGAGGTGTATGACAGGAAAAGGCAGGGAGGGCTGGCAGTCATTAGAGCCGCCCGTCCTACTGTGTGGCCCACAGGGTCAGGGCCAAGGCTGATGGGTGCTCACACGGGTAGATAATCAATTCCTATGCCAGAAAGGGCATTAGCCAGGCATACGAGGAGGGTGGGAGGGTGGGCAGGCCTCAAGGAGGAGCCTTAATGAGCAATCAGGCTCAAAGGAGCCACAATCCCACTAATGGCCTCAGAGCCTCTGACCTCAGAGCCGAATGACAGGTTAATGAGAGAGTGCTGGCCAAGGGATATTCCCAGAGCAGTGACCCCAGACGAGAAGTTGAGAGGGTCTGGACCTGAGGGCCTTGGCTGGGGGCAGGGCCTGAGGGGGTCAGGGACCAACTGCTTACCTTCTGGACGTTGGGCAGCACGAATCCTCTCAGAGCCTGAGGGGAGATGAAGGAGGTGGAGAAACCGACACAGGGACCCCATGTCCCTTGCACATCGCCTGTGGAAACCATGTGCTCTGAACAACGCAGGTCTCCTGGCCGGCCTCCCCATGTGGCTGCCACCTTTGCCCCTTTGTTGCTCCAGTTTCCGCCTTTTCATTTATTTATTTATTATTTATTATTATTATTATTATTGGGGAATTGGGGGATGGGAACAGCGCTGGGGAATTGGGGAAGGGGAACAGACAAGTTGCTGTCGTTTTGTTCTTCAGTCTAGTTGTGGAGGACGTTGCTTCGCTGGCACAAGTTGGCACCATCATTGCGCTCTTCCCGGGTGAGGCAGATCAGTCGCCGGCTTCTGGACGGCCGCTCACGGCGGCTGCTGGCCGCTCACGCTGGCTGCTGGCTACATACGGTAGCCCATGGCAAACCACTGCAGCAGGGGCTGCAGCCTATGCCCTCACTTGCGACTCATGGCAGCCCAGCTCCAGGTTGAGCTGTTGTTCAGCATCTTAGCTGTAGAGGGCAGTGTCACTGGCCCTCATATGTGGGATCTGAACCAGGGCCCTCTGGCATCCCAAACCAGTTCTTAACCAATGCGCCACTTGGCCGGCCCTGCCACCTTTTCTTAATTTTGTGCTTTGAAAAACTTTAAACTCTCAAAAAAGCTGGAAGAGCAGTTTAAGTGGCCATCTGCCTGCCCCTGGCCCACCATCAGGTACCAGGCACCACTCTGCACCATCATTGCCTTGTGGTAGTCTGTGCAGGGACAGCACTGACCCTGGATAGAGGACAAGGTGACTCTGAAGGCTCTGGAAACTGTGATGGCTCAGAGGAGGGGCCTAAAAATAAGATGGTTCTACTCAGAGGCCAAGGTGAGGTGTCAGCTGAGAGTCTAGCCAGGTAGGACCAGAAACGAGGATCAGAAGAAATGACTTATGTGAAAGACTGCAGGTCCCCAAATCCTGCCCCTACCAGGGCTCCCGGCATCCTCTGAGCCACTGTCCAGGGCTGGCCAAGTCCATAGAATCAGGGTAGCTGTGCCTGGCCTTCTTTGCCTGGAATTGCCCTCCTCCTCTCCCTGCAGGTGAAGGCTTCACTGCTAAACACATGAGACTGCAGGTCTAGAGGATTAAGGCAGCATTGAGCAACCAGTCACACTTCAGTGAGAATTGGTGGATACAGCAGCCCTGGGCCAGGTTCCAGGGGCCATGCATGGTAAGTTTGATGGTGGATGGGTACTCCTAGGGCCCAGAGAAGCTGTGGGCAGTAGGAGGACCAGGGACTGGCCCACAGAGGCAGAGGATGTCCCTGCCTACCAGCCTTAAGACCCAGGACAGTGGCAGATATGGGGCAGAGACTCCTGGGCCCACTGAGCCAACCCTGTGGCTACTCCACAAACCCCCCCAGGGAGGAAGACAGGCTCTTTCTACTTGGCCTAGTGATTGAGCAAGACTTTCAACTCTCTGCAGGTGGATGTGGGCTGCTCACCCACTGTGTGTGGAAAATAGCCACCCCTGGTGCGCAGGTCCTAGAAATAGCCAGACCCAGAGGTCATCCCCCAAGATGACTTGGCCACCCCGCAAGCACCAAAGTGTCCGCATTGTTCAGGGCATCAGCAATTTTGATAGGTTTTCATTTAACTTTCTCTTTATTGCAATTACTTTGAAAACTATTAAGTGTAGTTATTAATCATTAAGTAATTATTATCTGCTCTTATATTAATTAACTGGCCATTGGGAGTGTCACCAAGATTTAAGGTTTTTAATTGTTAATAATATTTCCCAAAAAAAGAGGGAGGTTTAACGCACCTCCATATATATTCTTTCCTGCCTGGGATGAGATAGGGAGGGTCCCCTAGGGCCTCAGAAAGGGCCCCACTGAGGCCACCTTAGAGGTTTGGGGTCAGGGCCAGGTGCTCAGCAGAAGCGACCAGGTGAGCTTCAACCATGCAAAGCTTGCCCCTGGGCCAGGTGATGAGAACCTGGCTGTGCCAATCTCCTGCCTCTGAGCCTCAGTTTGCTTCTCTGTGAGATGGGATGACACATGCTTCCTGCACAGCAGGCCACGAGGGCACAGTAGTATGATTCTCAGGGAGGGCTATAGAGTGCTGCCAGGTAACAGGAGGCCAGGGGCCGGTGTCAACAGGGTGGCCTTTCCGTGTCAACTCACTGAAAATAGCAACAAGTGGTCAGGGAGCTTACACCAACTGTAGTGCTAGGTACTGGTGTCATATAATGTCACAGTGTCAGCTGTGTCCCCCATCCAGGGATTCCCCAGCCCCAGTCAGCCACCAGCACCACTGTCTTGTCCTCATACCCAGCCCATGCATACCAGGAGAGTGGCTCCTGGTGGCTTCTCCTGTGTCCGGTGCTCATGGAGTCAAAGCCAGAGTTTCTGGGGACGCTGGAGGCTACCGTGCGGCTGAGTGGTCAGTGAGGCCTATGGGGTCACATGGGCCTAGAGCAGGCAGTTGGGGGGTTACCTAGGGATAGTAGGGCCATTGGTGGGCACCTGCTGTGTGGTAGGCACCTTGCAGTCTAGTCTCCCCAGTGCAGTCTTCCCAGCAAGCCTCCGTGCCGGAGCGTGCCCCAACCTGTGGGCCTCGGAGAGACCAGCAGGCAGAAGGCTGGGTGTGGACAACAGGGGACGGGGGAGCAGCGGGGGCAATGCTCCTAGTCTGGTCCTTGGAGGCCATATGGGGACCTGGAGAGAGGGTGGAGTCATGCCCAGGCCCCAGGATGCACTCATGGGGGAGCAGCCCTGCTAGGTGGTGCCAGAGAAGTGATCATAGTGACAGTGGTAGTGAAGGTGGTGGTGATAGAGGTGGTGCTGGAGGTGGTAAAGGTGGAGGTGGTAGTGGCAGCCATGATGGAAGTGATGGTAATGACGGTCATGTTCACGGTGACAGCAGTGATAATGAAAACTGATTCTTCAGGACCCAGAATTTCCCAGACAAGCAATGTCATTGCTGCCCCTTCCCTGCCTGGTGGGCTGTCCTTGGGAGTCGAGAAGAGAGAGAGCCTTAACCAGATCTGTCAGGACACTGTTATATTTTGAACTCACAGAGAACATTTAATTTTAGTTAAAAATAAATAAGTCCAATTATTATTATTTTTTTTTAAAGATTTTTGTTGGGGAATTGCGGGAGGGGAACAGTGTTGGGGAATCAGGGAAGGGGAACAGACAAGTTGCTGTCCTTTTTTCTTCAGTCTAGTTGTGGAGGACGTCGCTTCACTGGTCCATGTTGGTGTTATCATTGCACTCTTCTGGGGTGAGGCAGTCGCTTGCTGGTCATTTTTACGGCCACTCACGGCAGCTCAGGGCAGCTCACGGAAGTGCAAGACAGCTGCCAGCCAGCCCCTACTGCAGCCTACGCCATCGCCAGCGGCTCACGGCAGCCCAGCTCCTGGTCGAGCTGTTGTTCACCATCTTAGCTGTAGAGGGCGCAACCTCACTGGCCCACATGTGGGATCAGAACCAGGACCCTGCTGCTCAGAGCTGGCGTCCCAAGACAACTCTTAACCAATGCGCCACTCGGCCGGCCCAATAAGTCCAATTATTGGAAAGGGGGAAAATAGCGTAGTATTTACTGCAAGTGAATTAAAGGTATTTTCTCGGAAAACTCCCCTTTAAGAATTCTGGGTACCGTCCCCCTCCTCTCAGGGTCATGACTGGCAAGTGGGGCCACTTTGAGCCTGGTAGGACAGAGCAGGAAGGAGTCACCCTACCTCTCCTGGGGGTGGACCCCCCTTTATGTCCCCCAGGACAGTGGCTACAAGGCTGCCAGTGCCCCCCTTTCCCTGGCCAGCAACCAGTTGTCAACCATGTCCTGGCCCATTGCCCCTGGATGCCTGGACATGGTCACAATTCAGCCTCCAGCAGGAGAGAATGGCCCCTGACTTACCTGCTTTGTTGCTTACCTGCTGTGTGAGCCCAGACAAGCCCTTCACCTCTCTGGACTTGTGTCCTCACCTGGAAAACGGGTA